AGCCCATCTGCTAATTCTAGGGCTGCGAAAAATGTTCCAGGTATCCTTGACCCGCAAGAGTACAGGATGTCTGCCCACCACAGCTGGATTTGTGCATAAGCTAATATGTGAGTGTGAAACAGCTCACGTGGGGAGGCTAGTCCATGGACTAGAAATACAAAGATACACCCTTGACCATTACAGCCCATGCGGCTGGAGGCTTCTGAGGGGTCTGAGTCCCAGCTAGTCCTCTCACTGAACATTCATGAAGCAAGCCCAATGCCAGCATATGGTCAGAAAGCTGAACCTACATACACCTGAAAACTATTTTGTTTTCTGAGACCTCACCTCTACTCTCTAAGCCAAAGGTTTTCTTGAAGAACTTGTTTTTCTACTAAGCAGGTTCTGTTTCACCAGTCAGAACAAACAAAACTGTTCATCTCAGGAGCTGGACATTCAGTCATTGTCCCAGTGCAGGATGATAAGAGCCATCTGTTTAGGAAACACACCATAATTTCAATCCACTGTCCATCCCTCAGCTTAAGAGTTCTTCAGATCCTGGGCTTTTTCCATGGGTCTCTCACCACCTGCCTGCATTCTGGAAGTTTCCTGATAGCTAGAAAGTGCTCAAGGAAAGCAAGTAAGCTTTTCACACAGCAGCACTCATACTCACTGCCACTTTGGAGTGGCAGCACCTACACCAGCCACAGAGGTTACATTAATACATGCATTCCATAGGAACCACAGAGGGCAGCAACAATGGCTAGAAGTGAATCTTATGTGCAATCTTACATATATGCAATACATTTAAACATGCTATTCCAGAGCCCCCATGGCTTCATCCGATCTGCCAAGGACAATGGGGTACAGATGGCCATAAGAGGCCAGGGCTGGGGACAGGCGAGGGACAGTAATGAATTGTTCTGGCATGTAAGAAAGAAATGTGGCCCTCTGAGAAGATCTGCATTAGGAGTGCCTCAGCTCACTTTTCTCTAACGTTCCTCACCACATACCTCCCCTTCTGTCTCCTCTTCATTTTTCCCTTGTCCTCGGGTTTGGAGAAGGCATGGGTGTCACTCTCCTGTGCTGACACTCCCTTCCTGTGCCTGGTTCAGTTCCTGTGTCTCTCTCCTTCCCTTGGACTAGCCCTCTTCTCTCCCACTCCTGCCTGTCACTTGGCCCTCCTGTGCCTGCTGGTGCCACTTGCCACCTCCTTAGGCTCTGCAGCAGAAGCCTTGGTCACAGACAGGCTCCATCATACCATTTAGGAATAAAGCACATTTACTGACGGGAGGTATTTCTGAGACACAGTAGGAAGAATACACTGGCCATCTCAATAAATGCCTGTACACTACTCCTAACAGGGAAGATGAAAGCTTACCTTGTGAGGTGGGTGGAAAGCATCCTGCTGGGTAATTCCAATGGCCCCACTGTATGGAACCCCAGAGACCAGACCAGGACCTTTCTCCTGCCCAAATCCCTAGCCAAGTGCATTAATTAAGCACTGCAAGCAGGAAGCCCTGAGGGCAGGCCTGGAGAAGGCCTGTTCCTCTAAGTCAGAGGTGAGGTTAGAAGACTGGGGGAGAGGCAGTCTTGTGCTTTAGAAAAACTTACAGTGCACTGTTCCCGCAGCCCTGCCCTTGTCTAGAGACATGTACTGTGAAAGTTTTTCCCAGTAAGGTAGTGGAGAGAATACTTATCCTATCAATAACCCAAGGGAAAAAGACAGGGCAGGAAAGAGGGAGGGGCGATGGGAGGGAGGGGAAAGGAAAGGAAATCAGAAAGCTAGCCTTGGAAACACAGTGCACTATCAAGTTTGCTCCATGATACTGGAAATAGTTTGAGATATATATTTGTTTCCATTTTCTTTTCCTAATAAAAGGCACTAAAACACTTAAAATAAAAACTGCGTAAGAGTGTAGTGATATTTTCACTAGGCAAGTATTAACATAAAATGTGCTTAGGAGCTTAGCATGGAATGAAATGATAAACATTGTAACCTTCCCTAATCTATTCATTTATCCCACGAAGAAGAAAGTCCACTTTTATGGGACTGGTTCTCTCTCCAAGACTTAATTATTCATTCCTGAAGAATTGTACTGGCCTTCCTACTAAACAGGCTCAAGAGAAGACTCCAGACTTCACTCTCATAGGAAATGGCCATGTCACATGACTCAAGAGAAGAATGCCCAGACTTTGTTGTCACAGGAAATGGCCATGTCATATGCTGAGCTGGGATGCATCAATCTTCTAACATTTTGTAAAGAGGACACAAAAGTAGATGGCCATCTCTCATCTAAAAGCCTGGTCCACCCTGCATTATCAAAAAATGTTCAGAGTTACAGTCTACAGAAAAAATGAATACAGTGATAAATTTTTAGTCACATAGAGACCTCAAAAGTGGACATGATTTAAGATATTATATAATGGTTTAAGACAGAATTTATGAAGATAAAACCTCTCTGGTTCTATTTTGATATTTTCATTTTGTTTGTTTCATTTATGGAATTATCTTCAAACCTTTTCCTTAGAATCTATTTTGACTTCTTTTTCTATTCAAAATCTAAGTTGGATACTCTGGATCTTAATTATTTACTTTTAAAAAATCAACCTAAAATGAAAATAATGTATAATTTCGCCATTTAGAACATGAACATTTGCAGTCAATGTATTCTGAAAGAAATCTTCATTTTTCTTGTGATTACGCTCATAGTTGTTCAGTTTTTCTCTTGTTCACAAACTCACAGTTATAGGATTTAAAACAAATAGATGCTTCGAGAATTGTGATGGCATCCTCTGAGCCACTTGATAGGATACCACAAAGGTGCCCATAGAATAAGAAGAGGGAACATGGGTCACAGGAGTCAGAGACCCACAGCTAATTCCCACCCTCCCTGAAAAGACTGAAATGGCCGACCAGGGTATTGACCCAGCTTCTCTGGATTCTCTTCTCTGTGGCAAAGAACAGAGACCATTTCTTGGCATGTAGTCACAATGGATTTCAAGGATAGCTCTTACTCTTTACTGCTCTGCCTTAGCCAAACCAGTATCCTAATCCCGAGACAGTTTTTTGGGGGGGGGGGACAAACTGATTGCTCACAGTCCTCCTGGAAGAGTGTGGCAGGTGTATGAGCTTTCCGACACACATTAAATTGTGATTCATTTTTAATGAACTCTCTAGAAAGTGAATGCAGCCCCCAGAGACCCTGAGACCCTGGGATTTGCCCAACAGACAAAGGTAGCAAGTGGAGGTGGATGGATGGAAAAGATAGCAAGGATAGTCTCTGTGACATACCCTTGCTTCTGGAGTTCCTGTCACCCAGAGCTTCTCCAGCAGACCTCACCTTCTCCTCCACCAGCCACTGCCCAGGACCTCTGTGCTGGTATGTCAACAAATTGGGGGTGATATAAGAGCCACCAGGTGTCCATGTTCACTTTTAACTTCTGCTATCCTGGTGCAGCTGAGAAATGGGCTTTTCTCACTCTCTAGCTGGATTTTTCTTAGTTTATCTTCCAGAGGAGGTCATCCTGGAACTATGACCTCAGAGAAAACACATGTACTATCCCTAGAAGCTAGAATCCTACTCCAAAAGACTGCTTAGAGGTTAAACAGAATGCCTAGGTGGCTGGGAAGTGCTCGCTATGGGAGTGTCTCAGTGAGTGGAGAAGCTTTTGAGTCCAAAGTACAAGAGAACACTTAGAATTATGTTAACAGGGAAGTCTAATGTAATGGGAAGCTACAGGAGAGAAATCCATCAAGGCATTTGGTTGCGTCAGAAAGAGATTTCCCCTTATGTTTTACAGTTTCTCTACTTCGGTAAATGACTGTGAGTAGGGCAGGACAAAACTACTCAAACTTGATAAGACCTTTCAAAAATGGCTGGGAATTCATTTAATCTTATTTAGAATCATTAAAGGTTTACATGGCTGGTTAATTTTTGTTGATTTGAAGGATTATAGTCTACTGCAATTTCCTTGCCCAGCCCACCAAAGAGCTGAGTTTGTGGTTGCTTAGGAAAAACAAGCAAAACTATCTTTTTTAAAATAGGGAAGTCTTTTTCCCTAAGGGTTTTTAAGATGCTGAAAAACATCAGGAATAAACATCTATTTGTGCATAAGAAGGTTCACTGGGCCCAGGAGTAAAAAGGCAATGCTTCCCACACTTATGCTACAAGCGCACTGAGGGGTGGTAGCCAGCACCAACTGGCCTCTGCAGAGGAACCATGGTCTCTGAGCTCCCAGACAGTGCTATATTCGCATTCAACTCCCAGACATTTTCCTGTGGAATACCCTTACTACCCCAAATGCCTCCGACTTCACAGCACAAAGCAGATCACACTTAGAAACCCAGCTCTGAATTTAAAAGAGAAACATCTGCTAACAGGTTGAAAAGAGAAGATCATCAACAACAAGGGGTTCCTTAGACTGGCTTCTGGTGCACCCCGGGAGACTCTAGACATACAATGTCAGTCCCCACTAGAGATTCCGGAGGAGAGGCCAGCATGCCAGCATGCACAGTATACCCCTGGGCTTAGACTGAAGGGGCCTCATGCATTCTCCCCTGTGGGCAGCCTTTACTACAAAACCTGATTGTGAGTTTGGGACCCACAGCTTGCCCTCTGGGGAACCAGTCCTACCATGTACTGGCTGGGTGACAAAGAGCAAACTGATTCTCCATGACTTGATTTTCCCAACTATAGTCATATAAAATCACTCCACCTAGCTTTTATGGCTATTGTGCAAACTAAAAGCAACTCATGCACGTACAATACCCAGGATAATGTCTGGCTCTGCATGCAGAACCACCACCCCAGTGAATGCTAAGAGGCACTATTATCACTCCAGTCTCCCCCACACAGTTCAACCACTGGCCGAAGCTACCTCAGTGAGGCTTTGAAGCCTTCTCCCAAGTTCCCAAGACATGAGACACCCCACCCTATTTCTGTGAAAAGGGGGGAAGCACTAATACAGGTGAGAAACATCTAGAAACCTGTCAGAGGGGTTGAGATCTAGAGTCCTACCTCAGATATCCAGGTAATTCAGAAGAAGCTGCATGCTGTCACCTGCCAGGTCTGGCTGGTGAGGGTGTGGCCTTTGTGCCCCAGAAATGCATTAGAAGCATGTGTAGAGGGAATCCCCATTCTTGCTCCTCTGGCTCTAGAGCTGTCTGTTTTGAAGCAGAGAGCTAGCAGCTCCAGGTAGGCCTGGGGATGGGAGTGACTGCCATAAAATTCCTCCTAGAGCCCTGATAGTCCACCACTCTTCTAGAAGGCTCCGACCAAAAAGGGAAGCAAATTGACTCCAATCCTGCTTTCTCCTGGCTAGTGCAGGATAGGAGAAGCAATCACAGGGCAACCTAGGGAAGGTTGTTCTCCTAGAAGCCAGAACATGAGAAGTTGAGGCGGGGAGAACCTGGGAGCTTTCCACAGCCCCACACCAGCACAACCTCCAAATGCTTCCCCACCAGGCTAGGTAGGAACTGGAGACAAGCAGGGCTCTCAACCGAAAGTGTCACAGGAGATAGGGCGAGGAGGGCTATGCACCTCCTCTCTCAGACATGGTGATGTGTCCCCCACTCAGGAAGAGAGGAGGAGTTTGGAGATAAATAGAGAGGGGATGCCCTTTCTTTGCAATGGGCCCCTTCCCACAAGTGGTCTTGAAGGCCAGATGGCTGGGGTGGAAAGGAGTATTCCTGCATCCACCAAGTCATCAGAAACAAACAGGGCGATTTATCTGGGGGTTGCAAAGTGGGTGGACCCACCTCTGATCCCCGAGACCAGGTCGCAAAGCTGGGTCTCCCTTCACGGGAGGAGCTGTGCACACCCCCTTCCGCTGCGACTCTCCACACACCCTCCAGTTCTAAGCTAAGATCTTTCCCAGCCCAGCTCAGGGCTCCCCCACTCCCTTCTTTGCTCCGCCCAGGTGCAAACCTTGAAGCAGCCAGGAGAAGGTGGCTCAGGGTGCAGCCTCCGCCCTGCACTCTTCTCTGGAGGGTTGGGACCCCAGCCTATCTGCTGAGCGCTGAGGATCCCCCTTTGCTTTCCACACATAAATACACCCCTAGGGATCAGGCCAGGAGTCCCCTTCCCATTCCGGGACGTGGAGACATCCTTGACGCCCCAGTGCCGTCAGAGACGGTGGGCGTAGATCTACCGACCCGGTTGCGAAGATGAAGGGGTGTAGAGACGAGCGGGTGCGGGAGAGGACAGGGGCTGTGGTCCGCTTGGAGCCAGGAACGGCGTCCTCGGTCCACGATCTGAACATTCAGTCACCGCCCAAGATGCCAACGCATTCAGAATGTAGCCGAGAGGTTTGTTTGTTCCTGGGGAGGGAGCTCTTTCTACCCTAGGCAGAAGCAGCAAGCCTTCCTAAATACCCCGGGGCAGGAATTCCAGGAGCTGCTTCCCACCTCGGGACCTCCCAGGTACCTAAGCCCCTCCCCCTGTATTTACACATCCAGGCCGGCGCCCCCCACCCCCACCGGACTTCAATCTCTTCCAAATCCTCTTCAGTGGCCACGCTGGGCTGTCCCTTCGCCCACGTTAGCAGAGCCTTTCCGTCCCCTCACCCTTGGGTAGATCTCACCCTCTGGCTGCCTCCCGCATCCTCAAGAGAGACCTTTTCCTCCCAGAACCACTTACTTCACCCACCCAGATCCACACTTGCATTTCCCATGGCACAAAACCATAACCCAAAGCCACTCTGAGGATTTTATTATCGAGTTGGGGGTGGCGTACTCGAGTGGTCTGACCCCCACCGCTCTGGATGGAGACCCCGGGTAACAGCAGCCTTCCCTTAAGTCCCTCCTCTCCTGGTCCTCTGCCCCTACCCAGCTGCGACAGGCAGGAGAAGCACTACTAGATCGCAAGCCCTCGTCTCTGGAACCGGAGCTGCAGAGAGCGAAAAGTCGAACTGCAAGAACACAGTGAGAGAAATGGGCAAATGCGTTAAGGAAGGGGGAGCTGGGGGAAGGGCGCACGAGAGAAATGAACAGACACCGCACCAGGTGAGAACCACACAGGGAGGGTCACAAAAGTTTGCAGACTGCTGCATGGCACCTGGTTGCACAAGAGCGAAAAGGGTCGACTTCTCTTCTCCAGGCAGAGTCTCTCCAAAGATCTGTGTCAAAGGGACCCGGGGATTTGGACTGACAGGACTCAGAACTGCGGTGACCGTTCTCTGCTTCCCAGAGAGATGGCCTAGGCAACCTGACTGGGAGCTGATCCCGCGCTCTGCGTAAAGCAACAGGCGGCTGCACCTTACCTTGCGCCAGTCCTGGGTTGGGATGGCTGCTCCATCCTCGTGGCGCAGGGAGGAGGCGTTTGGTGCGTATGCCTAGGGGTGTGCGCGCTGCCAGGGCTGCAGCGGCCGCCACCTCCAGCAGGCTGCGAACTGGGCTGCCCACCCTGACCCGGCCCGCCGGCCGGGCTCCGCTCCGGAGCGACCGCCGCGGCGGCGTGGATGCGCTGTGGCCGGGGCGCAGGACGCAGGCTGTGCGTGGCGCGGCTGGCGTCTTTGCGCGCCGCCACCGAGCGAGGGTGCGGCCCCGGGCGGCCGTGTGGGGCACGACTTGGCTTTCGCTGCGGCGCCCGCCGCTGCAGACCCTGTGCAGGGAGCAGGAGTCTAGCTGGAGGAGGAGACAAAGATGCGAAGGAGGCAGAAAGCCACTCGCCAACATGCAGGCGGCTCAGTCACTAGAGGGGACTCGCCTCCAAACCTGGGCTGAGGATGGAGGAGGGGCGAGGCTTCTGGGGACTAGAAGACCTAGAACAGTGAACGTGACAGGCGGAGCTGGCTATCACCTCGCTGACACTGTTTTCTGCCTTCTAGCTGGAGGGTCCTGAATGAGGAGGGGAGGGTCTTCAGCCTTAGCCTCCTCCTTGGCTCTTGCACCCCCTTGCACAGTTCCAGGACAGGTTGCTATGGGCCCATTTTTTTCCTCCTGTTTCCTGATTAGTAAACAGGGCAATTGTTTAGCCAAGGCTCATTGCTATCAACAGGGAAAAAGCAAATATTTAAAATTAACTATACAAGGACGTCTTGTTGGATGCCAAGTATTGTGCTAGGCTATTGTGAAGAAGGATGAGTGAGAGAGGAGACAGGACTCCATACCCCAACCCCTGGTTCCATTGTCGGATTTCCAGATGAGTGTACCCTGAATTCGTGGTGACCAACATTTAGGCAATCAGTCGTAGTCCCTAATCCTTGGTAGCCAATCTCTCCTGCTTTCCCGGTAATCTCTGTCCCTCCCAGGAATGGCTTTAAATGTGCAACAGAAATAGTGTGTGTGTGTGTGTGTGTGTGTGTGTGTGTGTTAGAGAGACAGAGACTGAGACAGAGACAGAGTGAGACAAGTCAAGACAGAGAAAGAATTACTGGTTTCCATAATATTCTTATTTCATGACTTTATTTATAAGATCAGCACCAGAAACCAATTTAGGATTGAACAACCTGCTTTTCCAGCCTCAAAAAACGCCACGCTTTTTCCAAGTCTCCTTCCTCCTAACCTCCACCCAGGCCAAATCAATCTTTCTCTTCTCTATGCTGTCACAGACTTCCATCTTCCATCACTTGTAAGACTGATAAGATAGATTTTATCGTGTCACTCACCTGTGAGACCTCTTCCAGGTGCAACATTCAACAGGACTGGTATCTACTAAGTCCACTGAATACAAGGAATGCTTATGTATTCAAAGATCATCTCCTTCAAGAGCAGTGAATCCCAGTGTCCCTGGAATAAAGTGTGATGGAGCCTCTAGGAGTTTATGAAGGAACAGGGTACAGAGTGATTTTCACAGGCCCCTGGGCTGACTGCACACAGCTATTTCCTTCCTCTTTGTTCTTAGTTCATCTGCTCCCAGTGACCATCTCACTTCTCTGCTGAATCCCCAAAGACCAGAAAGCCATACTGTTGAGCTCATACACAGGGCAAGAGTCGGGCACACTGCGGCTAGCACCCAGAGCAAACCCATTCCAGATGGGGATCCACCAGAAAAATCTTTAACATTTGGTGACCTGTATCAAGCATGTTGCAAGCCTGCTGACATTCCTCCCCTTTGTAATGATGCTTTCTTCTTGCAGACACATTTAGAAAGATGTGAGCAGTGTTTCATTGCTGAACTGTGAAGAGGTGCACTGTGTCTAGACACATTGCAAAACTGTAAACCACTGTCACCCCAGAGCAGGCATGCCCTGTGAACAAGTCCCACATTAATACCCGTATATTCCATGGCTTCTATTTCTAATATTTCACAATGTGATTTGATTAGTCTGGATTTGAATTACTATTAATATTTTTTACAGTTTTAAACTGAGACTTTTAGAACCTAGAAATAAATACTTATGGATAATAGGCATGTAATTTGGTGTAATTATTCAGAGGGAAATTTGGCATTCTTATTGAAAGTATAAAATTTGTTTGTGATACCATGCCAATGCTTCTCACAACTCAGGAGATAACTGAGAGTATACAACAAAACTCATCTGTAGAGATGCTCGCTAGACTGCTGTACAAAGCAGTAGAAGGCTGAGAGAGAATAAGAGATGAATAGTGAAATATTTCATAGGGACTATGTGATAAAATACCACATGTGGGATTGTTATAGATGAGTATTGTCAGGGATGATGGGTGTAAGTTCAGTTGAAGGGTTCCAGAGGCACAAGATGACACAGAACACAATGGAGTTCAGAATCTGGATCCTACAGATCTGGCTTATATCCAGGCCTTCCCAATTGTTGATTAACGACGTCTGAAGCTTTAGTTTCTCTGCCATGTGGTTACTGTGATGCTGTGTTTTAAATGAAATAGTACTTGGAGGAACACTCATCACTTATTAATGTCCATAATGCATATACCTAGTTAAACGTAAAAGAAGAACATTCTGACAGTGGTTCAGATAACCTTCATGGTGGCTTCCTGGTTTGGTTGGCTCACCAAGTTGTCAACATGACTTGCTGACTGTTGGTGTCACCCAAGCTATAAAAAGGATAAATGACAGGGCATGGAGTTTGTCACCTCTGATATAAACTTAGATTTGTTTTGTAGCAACCAGGAATCAAGTCCAGCTCAGCAAATTTGGTATTTAGTATGAGACTCTGATTGGTTCTTTCCTCTGCTTGTGCTGACATCCAATTAAAAAAATGAAATAGGAGAAAGGACGCTTCTTGGAAGCTCTACCTGTGAGTTAATTAGTGAACCAGAGAAGGAACTTAGCATGAAAGGGTCATGAGGCTCTCTGACCTTCACATTCACCTTCAGGGCCCTTCTGCTTCAGAGCTGGGCCATTTGTAAAAGTTGTCTGCACACACAAGAAATGTTACAAAGATATACAGGGAAATCGGAATTGTTGATGTTTTTTGTTTAGCTTCCTTTAGAAATGGAGTGCATTGTTTCAGTCAGTTCGTTCTAGGAACTTTTGCATGTACAAGGAATTCCTTCAATTCTGCACCACATCCCCAATTGAAACATTTCTACAAAAGTGCAATGCCTGCCTGGGGAGGGGGTGCTGAATCTCTCAAATTCAGACAGTAGGGGTGCCTGAAGCCCTATTGTCTATGGCATGAAAAAAGTCAAGACATGAAGATGTTGCTCCCACAAAACCTTTGCTAGAGATATTCCAGGTAATAGGAAGCTATTGCAAAGCATCCTAAAGCTAGATTTGGGCAAGGAGTCCCCTCAAGAGCATGCTTGCTGCTGG